CCCCCCACACAGAATCTCTCTCATACATACACAAATGAACATGGAAGTGACCTTTGGGAAAGGGAGAGTTATCCTTCCCCTCCAGGCACACTGCCCTCCCCTGTAAATCACACTCTGCCACCCCACTGAGCAACTGACTGGTGGGCTGGGGAACAACAGCTTTAATGGGGAGGACAGAGTGCCCTGACGATGCTCCAGGCACACAATCCTCTTGCCCCTCCTCGCCAGCCTGCTGGACTTGCTGTCTGGCAGACTGAAGAAGCACAACTTACATGGGGAACACGGCGTGCAGGAAGTGTCACCCGTTCATGCTGTCCTCCCGCCAAACCCCGCCCCCCATGGCCTCCCAGCTCACCAAACAACTGGGTGGCAGGCTTGGGGGAGCACAGTTTGCAGGAGAAATCAGCAGAACCAACGGAGCAGTAGAAGCAGCAGCTGCAGCAGCTGGGCCACCCGCATTGGCTAAACTAATGGCCTCATCTTGTTTGTGGACTGCAAGTTGCCCAGATATTTATTTATTTATTTATTTGGATATAAGTTGATAAAGCGTGGGATCTTTATTAATACATGAAGACAAACACCCCCATGACCATTGAACTAGATATCCCAGGACGTCCAATTCTGAATGGCAGGGCCTAACCATAAAACCTCCACCCCTAGCTTGCTACCGCACCTTCTAGAGGTGCCAGAAATTGATCCCATAACCTTGTGTATGAAAATGAACTATACCTCCTCCCTGCAGGTTATTTCTTAGTTCAATTCAAAGTAGTAATTCAAATAAATAATTTGTATAAGATTGTAAGGCCTACTTATTCACTGCAGCATGTACACCATATGTACCATGTCATAATTTCAGATGCAAGGATGTCCTGCTCCACATGGCCCCAACACCCGAGACCAGTCAGCAGTCAGACAAAGCAGGGCCTTTCCTGTTGTGGTACCACAGTGGCAGCCCAATTGGGCAGCATTTGGTTTTCTTCTGGCAGAATTTCTTCTTCCAGAAGTTTAGAAGTATTCCTGCAAGCTGCTAGGAACCCACTTTGACACGGGGCAGAGAGAAAAGTGCTCTGAAATCCTGGTTTAGACACTCACAGTTTCATCCACGTCTTCCCATTCCACCTCAGAAAGGTCAACACTGTTATAGTTTGGTTTGGGTTTCAGCTTCTTCCCTTCTTTATACTGGAGTTTAGAAGAGAAACAGAAACAAACTTGCCTTCACTGCTTAACAAGCCAGAAAGGTACATCCTCTCTCTAAAATATGAGCATTACACATTTCACTCAGTTGACTAAACAATATTTGAGCACAAAGTTTCTAATCTAAAAGTTTTCCAAGCATAATTTTGCACAAGGAATGTTCAGTGAACATTCAATTGGTGTAAAGAATCCAGAGTGTGTTTTCATCATCTAGCTTAATCCTTATGGAGCAAATCACACTTGCTCAACATTCACAGTACAACACAATCAGCTATACAACTCAGAACATCTGTTTCCCTCTGTTATAATAGCTACTGTGAATACTAATGCAGTATGGGATGTAGCTGTAACATAGGTACCCAATTGCTACTACGCATGGAATTAAGGGCACACTTCTATGCAATTTCAGACAGAAAAAAGGCCTTGGATGCTGGAAGCTGTAGGACTTTATGTATAAACTTGCATAGAATTGCACCTTAAGACTTTTCCCCCCATCCCACACATGCATTTTTATTTTTCTGTTGCTTTCCAATGTAGAAGTCAGAGGTAGCAGGCAGCAACTGCAGTGTGTGGGAGAGTGAGTCTCCCCAAATCAAGAAATACATATTTAGAATGCCACCTGATGATACACACTTTAGCACTGCAATCACACCAGTAGTTTTAGCAATCTGGCATGCATTTATTATTCCATATTATTCTATTTGGACAGTATATCTGCCTTTCTTTGCTAAAATCAAGCTTGTTGTGGAAATATAAACTCACAAGAATATTAAAAACAAACAGCTACAGATCTTAAGAACATGAATCTTGGCTGTGTGTGCAGGAACAATACACAAACATAGCAAGGCAATCAAAATCAGTCACTGGAGCCAACAGGGATTAACAGACTTCTGGGAAGACATGGACGAGGTTATACTTATATAACCTGATGGGCAGAGCAAGCCTAACCCCCTTGGCCAGGCCACGAAAGGGTCTTACAAGAGGCCAGAAGTGCTTCTGCACTGATGAAGGGGAGTTAAGTCAGCAGGCCAGCACATTTACTCCAAAGGAGCCAGTGGAAAGCCCAGGGCACACAGGAGTCCCAAAGACAGTAAGCCCTGAAACAAGGTACTCTTGAGGTAGCCTTGGATCCACTGAAACCCAAGCCCCCCACTCACAAGACAGGCCCCACCCTATGCCAGCCTGGAGTTGTATTAGCTATTGTCCTTCTCATTAGACTCAGTGGAAGGACATTTTTAAAACAAGAACTGTTTGGAGACAAGGGGGGAAAGCCCACCTCTACCTCCCACTCCAGCTCTGGCGAGCCAACAGGGCTCTGCATGCAACAGTGGCTCTATTGTAGTTTCCTGCCCATGTACATATGGTTGCTCTGCACATGTTTGAGGCAGGGGCGCTATACAGCCACACAATGCACAAGGATGCCAGAGGATCCAGTGAAAGAACAACAACACTCCATACCTCTGGGTGACTTACCAATGGTCGGAGGTCTGGGTGGGATAGAATGTAGCCGTTGTTAGTGTTTAGAAAGGCATATCCATGGACACCCAGCTTTAAATAAATTATTAGAATAATTAGTCTTGTCTCCGTAAGTTGATATTCCACCAAACTGGACACCTATTGGCTAGTGCCCATGTCGTCATTCATATACACTGAATACAGATTTCAGTTAGAGCGGCTGACAGTTTTTTCTTAATAAATAGAATTTGAGTACAATTGTGTGGTCCTGTCGCACTTTATACTTACTGCAGAATCTGGAACGCTTTTGACCAATCAGTGTGCATGACAAGAATTATGATTTCTCACAACACTTAAATGTCTTTGGATAAAAGCACCTGCATATTTGCAATATTTTAAGTGGTTTTATTAAAACTTCTCTGAGAGGTTTTACCAATATATTATCCCTTGGTAAAACAAACAAACCAACCTTTGTTATCTTGTTCCTCCTCTGGGAAACTCACAGCAACTTAAATGGGGCTCTGAGGCCCTTTCGCATTCAAAGAATGACCAAGCTATGGCATGCTTCACTTTAACAATGTCTCAGGAACACGTACCCTCAAATAATTGCTCTGGACTCTTCATCTATTCAAGCAAAGCACACATGAGAAAAGTGAAGCCATCTGTGCTCCTGCAGTATTTTAATACTATTACACCAAACCATCCTTGTGGGCGAGAGAGATAGGTATGAGAAACAGCTAGCTATTTATACAGCCTTAAAACAATACTTTATATTTAACATTTGTATATCGCTTTCAGGCACTTCACATGAGTCATTAATTTATAATCCTTGCAACTATTATATAAATTCAGTGACTATTATTATCCTTCATCGTGCACATGGGCAGATTAATGCTGAAACAGAATGAATATAAGAACATAAGGCATCCTAAATCAGACCAGTACTCTGTTCGCATGGTGGTAAACCAGCTGTACACAAGATTGCTCAAGGAGGATGAGTATAAGACCTCCACCTGCCCAAGCTCCTCCACAGCTGGTGTATGCAGACGTACCACCACTGCTAAAGGAAGTAGCACATAGCTGGCAAGGCTTGTAGACACTGATACAATCGGTCCAATTTAAGCCCACTCATTTATTCATTCAGGATATTAAGTCCGCAAGGGGGGCTCACAAAGCGACTTTCAAAAAAACAAACAAAAAAAAAAAACCCCAACCCAAACCCCACAGTCAGTTCTAGTACAGGAACCATTGCATGGTGTTCATAAAGAACAAAGGCATAATCAAAACTTGATTCAATGACATAGCAGCCTACGTATAAACCAGACTATTTGCCTGGCAGTGGCACCAGACAATCTTACACAAAAGTCTTTCCCATAATCTGCTACTTGATTTTTTAAAAGAGTAGGGCCAGGGATTGAATCTGGGTACTTCTGCATGCAAATGAAGTCCTGACTTATGGTTGCCTCAGGGAACCATATATGGAATTGAAAGCCTAAACTTCCATTCAGCAAGTTCTATTGTTTCTTCTTTCATTCCCCAGGCACTTTAAAGATCTAGGGATCCAACATATTTTCTACGTGAATTGCACAGGAACTAATGAATATTCAGACAAAAGCTAACAAAGCATTCTCTCATTTACAAAAAGAACGGATTTTTCTCTGACATTTGTGGACTTTCATGTAATAAAGGAGTAGGGTGTTAGGGAGGAAAAGCACTACCTTGATCCTTACAGGTACTGAAAAGGATTAAATTTGGTTCCTGCCTCTGTCTCCTGTGGCAACACCTCAGCCATCGAGTGACTAATTCCCCCAATTTGTTTTCAGGATAACTTAATGTAAGGATCCAAGAACTGCCTTGTTGTGTAGATAAAGACCTACTGGTTTCCCAACAAGGCCTGGCAGTCCCTGACACTGCTTGGAAACTAACATGCAGTGGTATGAATGGGATGTTCCAGCCTAGGATGTCCTTTTGTTCAGAGTTGTGTTACCTTGGTACACAGCATTTCCATCAAGCTCTACTAGCCAATAGCTGTTTATAATGTTCTTCCATGTGACAATGTGCTCTGTGAACCGAGGCAATAAGGTGAGGCTTTCCCATCACAATGCAGCTGCCCTTTGAGACTACCAATCTTCACAACAGCTGTGTTACACAATCTTGATTCTGACCTTGTATCGTGGAGCCAACTTGAGAAGTTCTCTCAGAGGGACATCAGAGCCTACCACGCCCAAGAGAATACCATGAGATCTCTGCAAAATGATAGGAAGAAATGAAAAATGGAAACATACTACTTCATTCTCCATAGCGTAAAGCAAGGGCACTGAACCTCTTTCCTTCCATGAGCTGAGCACAATTTCAGAGAAACTTTCAAGGGCAGAGGCTGGGTAAGGCCGGGGATTGTGGTGGAGCCAAAAGCAAAACTTATGGGGCCAAAGTACAAAAAACCCTAGCATGCTGAATTCTTACAGCCAGCAACTAAGCCTTAGTAGACACATTTCAACCTTCCAGAATGTGCAAAAACCCCTAAAATTAGGCAAAAGACAAATGAAATTAGGCTGAGGGCTACAATTTACCCATTCCTCCCATACTGTGTTAGATCAAGGGCAAGCATTTCGCTTTAGCCATGAAGACCAATAGCCTCTGACAGACTTATTCTTCACAAATGTATCTAATCCCTTTTTAAAGTCATGGTAGCAACCACTGCATGGCAGGTACTTTTCTGGTAACCATATCAAAGTTTCTCAGCACACAGACATTTAGATTACTGACAGCACAATCCTTTGCTTGTTCATGCAAAATTAAGCCTCATTATGCGCAGTGGAGCTTATTCCCAGTTTAGTGTACATCCAATTACAGCCTGACAAAGTCTTCTGTAAGGAAGAGGGAAAAGTCATAGCTTTGAATATAGCACCATCCACCCCAACTGGCAGAAGTCCCCCAGGGTATCATATAGACCTTCAGGAAGATTATCACTTTCTAGTCTGTATGAGGATAGCTCATGTTAAATCTGGGCCCATGCGCTTGTTAAATTGAGCCTGTGCTTCTTTAAATATCCAGAAATGGTAGCTTGGAGAGCATTTTGATTGTCTGAATGGACATGTGCCAAATTTTAGAAAGCTATGTACCCACACTTGATGAGCAACTTGTGTTTTATACTTAGGTATTCATGTGAGTATATCAAATGTCAATGAGAATCAGCCCCTAGGAAATGAGAAGTGCAACTTCATCTTGCAGAGTATGTACCATGCCACTGATTTATGGCACATCACCAGTGTTCCTGGAGAGCAATAAAGGGCATCCCAAAGGACAGTTTAGCATAAGGTCTCCATAACTTTTAAAACGCTGTCAGGGATGAGCTTCTTAAATCAGCAATACTGAGAAGTAGCAACAGAACATGCAAAGACAGAACATCCATTTAGGAAATGCCTAAGAGGGCCATTAAATGTTTCCTAGCCATTACAGGCTTTCCATTTTGCAAACCATAACATTATCCTCCTTTCTGCTCTTGCTCTAAGTAAAGCATAGAAGCTGTCTGAAAACATCCTCCTCACCGTTTCGTTCTTCTTGCTGAAGACTGGCATAGCCACCGTTGTCATGAGCAAGAGGCTTTGAGCTTGAGAGGCAAAGAGCTACCAAAAAGAAAAAAGCACATTAGCAAGTAGAATAGATGCAAACGCATGAAGGACACCAAATACTGAAAGTAAATAACAGGAAAACACATTGATAAGCACATATTCCCTATTTTTAGTATTACTCTTACACTGTATTTATATCTTGCCTTTATTCCACACGTGAGGAGCCCAGGGCAACTTAAGAGGGTGTCTCCTGCTCTGTTTTTATCAAAAGGACATTCAGAATATGGTCTATGTAGTGGATGGTGATGAAGCAGAGAACTGCATCATCAAAGATGACAAGAAAAATTTAAGCTAGAAGAATTTAAAGACAAAGGAAGATTTATAAGTGACCACACACCTATGCATGTCCCAGTAAACATGGCATAGTCAGATACACAAATACATAGCAAAAGCACTGACTTATACAATATATACCAAACATACATAAACCTATACAACAAACATCAAAGGGATTCATGGAAAATGGGGCAGCAAGAGAAAACAAACAGCTTATTCAAAGGGCATATTCATTTACATGGACATGGAATATTTAGAATATTAAAGCACCAGAAATTCAGAGAAACAGCCATCACACAAAAAAAAACAGACATGGGACCACACAGGAGACAGTGTATGTAACAAATAATGGGAAGATGAATCAAATGAACACAGAAATCACAACAGACAGATAGTTCTCTCTGTAATATGTTTACATGTATATTGGCAGGGGGTGTATCCATATAGAAGCATATAGGGAAGAAACAACCCTTTTGACCGGAGAAAAGAGTTCTCCTTTGGCAAAGTCAGACTGTGGGGATTTTAGTCATTCTAGTCAGCAACTTGATAAACCAGTGCTGGAAATTAGCATCAGAGAGCTTGCTAATACGATGGAATAGGAATAAGGATCACATTAAAATGTATAATTTTAATGATGCAATACATGCTACAAATTCCTACACAGCACACATGATTTACAATGGACTAGGGAATGGGGAAGATATTAGTTCAGTTTTCATTTTAATGCAAGTTTACCAAAATTGTACTATCAAAGCCATGCATGAACCAAAAAGCAGATAAACACTGATAACTCTTCCTTCCTAAGTGTGTGATTAAAGTTTTCACACAAAAAATGAAACTAAAATGTCTATGTTACAAAGAAGTTCACCTAAGAACAGTTTATCTTAAGGGAAACTGGCTGCAAAATTCATATATTTTGAGAAATGCACATGGAAATACATGAACATTTTCATGTGGATTTAAAAAAAAACCATAAGCTGATGCAGAAACAGGATAGAACTAATTTAACTTTGGGAAAATTAATGAAATCAAACGTGACCTATCCATACATTCCAACATGATAACATATGCTATTGCTTAAACTCCAGTATGGTTACGAGAATTTGGGCACAATCTTACGTCATCTCAACACTCTCTGGAGGGCCATAGGATATGTTAGAGTTGCAACTCCAACTTCAGAAAAAGATGCCTAAGGTTGGAACTGGGATTCAAACCTCAAGAGGCTCTCCCTCCAGCCTTTCAGCAGGTGCAACTGTTTCTGCACCAGCTGGCCTCTGAAGAGGGAGCCCTGGACAATTACCTTCAAAGCTGACATGGGCAGGGAGAAGGTTCCAGAGGCAGGAAGGGAAGGAGCAAAGCATCACCATGCTCCAAAGCATTTTGGTGGCACTTCACCCTCCTCTCCTGGTGAGGAGGAAAAAACATTCAGGTGTCCAAAACCACCTTTCTAAATGTTTTGGAGGGTGGGGGAAATGCAGAGGCAATCCTAGCCTCTGTACTCTTCTTGCTTTCCACTGGATGCCCATAATCCTTCAAGTTCAGATTCTTAGGGACAGCCACATTGAACGGTGCCCTTCCTGTATGTTTCCTCAGCATCACTTCCCACTTTTTTTAGTCTTTTCTGAGCACCCACAGAATTTCACTTACATAATCTCAGTAACTGTCGCAATTGCTTTAAGATGAAGCAGTAAAATTATTGGTAAGAGAACTGAGAGACAGTGACTTAAATACATGTATTCAGAAGACGTTCCACTGATTTTGATAGGATTTACTTGCACGCTTGCAGGTACGGGATGGCAGACTAAGGCCATTCAGTGAGACGATAACTGAGCAGATGATAGAAACTAGAGACTTCCAGCCCAAGGGACATGCTTTTTATTACTTTGCTACAATAGAGTGGCACAGCACAATTTCTCAAATACATCCAGAGGTGTATTTTTCCTTCCCAAGCTGCACAACTTTATTATGGCTGTACTGCCATTTCCTTCCCACCTTGGATGTATGATTTACCTACATCTAGTACAGAACAGACATACAGACACAAGAAAAATAGCTTGTGGTCACACAACACAGGGCAGGCTGTTACCTCCTCAGATTGTGGCAGCTAGTGAGAGAGGTGAATGACAAATGAATGTACACATTAATGAACGGATGGATGGATGGATGAATACACACAAATAAAACATGCAGCAACCAACAAACAACAAATAAATGCGAAGCAGGGAATAAGTTGCCCATTAGTGAGCAAAACTATTGCACAGGTGCTTTTTAAAATTCCATACAGTTCAGAGCCATGATTGATAAAAACAAATTGCATATTGCACAGTACACAATAGGTTTAGCAAAACAGGCATCTACTACAATATACTGGCCAGAAAAATCTTAAGCCTGCTGTCTAGATTAAGGAACTGCTACACACTTTTGCAGGACCAGTTCCACATCTGAGGGAACCCTCAACAGTGTCCTTTTACTTCCTTAGGATTCTAGGCAATGGCTGCAGTGGGAGCCTAAAGGTTGGCTCTTCGGAGGCCCTATTCTGGCTTCAGCACACAATGACCATGAAAAAAACAGCCATAACCACATTGATACCCATGTGCCTCAGCCAATGTCAAATCTACTGATCCATTTGCCATTTAATTGCAAGGTATAAAGGAACATGCACATGTGGGAAGTGCCATGCAAGAGGAGCTCTGCTTGTTGCTAGAGATGAATACATTTCTCTAGTTTTCTAAAGAAAATTCTCCCCGCTTCACTCAAAATTCCTCTGACAGCCTGAGGAAAAAACTCTAAATCCACACTGAATTCCACTTTAGGTTAAATTTCAATGGCAACACTACTTTTTATCACAACTTTCCCACTACCAAAGAGACAAGTCACTTGCAATTCCAGAAGCAGCTTTTCTCTTTGGTAGCAAAAACTGCTGCAGTGAAACAAAAAGCAAATCTTTGGCTGTATGCTTGGTTCTCAAACAACTGCTTTCCTTGGGTTATTCTCTAGGTAATTAAGGACAATACTTGACACCTTTATATATGTCAATTCTCCCTGTGTAACAGATAACAGACTGTACTGCTGAAGTCCCACTGAGCTGGAGACTCAGTGACCCATTTCCTGGGCTAAAACTAATCTCTTTTCCTGTGGGTAATCCTTTATAAAGCGTCTCTGCAGAGTTAACAGAGGACAGAGATACTACTTAAGTCATGGTATACAATTTGCGTTAAGTCCCTGGATCATGGTGGAACCTCAAGGACATCACGTAAAATCACAGTGTGACAAATTTGTAGATAGTTTCAAAAGACAACATTGGCACTAACCAGCTGCTGCTACCCACTGACATACCATGTGCATATTTCAGAAACATCCCTCACCCACCTTAAGGTCTGCTGGCTGAAAGCTTGTCTTAAAATACTTACTGCACTGTCCATATACGCTTCAGTCCATATGATGTCATGATCATGGTTGATAACCATTGGTCGACTGAGTACATGCAGGTATTCCATTACATTCTCCTGGACGTCAGCCAAAGTGGATATCTGTGTATAGTAACCTTACATAAAGAAATACAACCCCCATTCCCCAGAGAAGAGAGTTAACTTTCTTGGATTATTTTGGCTCTGATGTATCCAAAAATGTATTGGATTCTGTAATTGTTGTTCAGAAGCAGGCTTTGCTCAGTAAGGTAATGTTCTGCTCTGCATGTCTGCACTGAGGCCTAGCACAGCCTGGGGGTGGGGGCAGCCCAGCAAACCTATCAATAGATTCCAGTAGGGCCTGGCTTCATTGCACTTGGGAAGCCATCAGAAAGGACTTCCAAAGGCACATCCATCCTTTAGCAGTATTCTTATATTTTACAGCATCTCATGAGGTAGAATGTGTTCTTGCATTTGAAAACTGGTTTCGACCACACTAGTGAAAGGCTTGGGAACTAACAGACTCCCTTCTATTGTACCTAACAGCTGTTGCCATACAAAAGCATGCTCACAACTTATATTTTCTATGGAAATTCGGCTAGATAAAATAATGCTGCAATTACTTTTACTATATTGAAAAGGAGTATGTGAAAAGGATACAAAACAGAAAGTTAAGCTTGTTCAATTGAAATCAATGGGACCTAAGAACAAAACTGCAAGCTTAACAACTTTTATTTCCTTTGCAACTCAGACAGAATGATCTTTCACTGGTTTATACCAGGAAAGTTCTAGAGAAAATTTGGCATACATTGGCTTTATAGTAATCAATGGTATTCATTACCATAATTTTATTGCCTTATTGTTCTCTAATATCAGCCTTTTAACCCTTTCATAAGCCACAAATGGAATGCCATACAGCACTAAAATAGAATGCAAATTTTAGGAAATGCATACATAAGTGGATGCACTTACTCCTCATTTAATTGCATGAGAAACTCTGATCCGGACACATGCCTAGAGCATTTCCTTTTTCATGTATTTACCTCCATCATCCTTTATCCCATGGCTCAGAATGTTCTTCAAACATTTACATTTTGAAAACACATATAAAGAAAATCAAATACCAATTGAACTACATTCCTCCAACTCTTTCTTCTTTCATCCCCGCATAAAAATCTCTGTTAGTTCAGTTACCAGCTGTGTTCTCGCCAAAGTTCACCTTGCTTTATGGCCCTTATTTAGCACATGCTACAAAATAGGCAGACTTAGGATTCCACTCCATTTCCTTCTGCTTATTTCAGGCTTGAATTAGGCTTGCAAAGATTGTAAAGGCCACAATCCAAGCATAGATGATGGCAGTTTACTTAACTTATAGTAAATGAATTGCAACAATGATGAAGAAAAAGCATTGCTCCTTACCTTTATTATTACAGGCTATCCATTTCACATTACTTGCAAAGCTGACTTCCCTCCCAATAAGATAAGTAAAAACACGGACCTGTAAAATAAGAACGCAGACACTGGAATTAAACATTAAAAACAGCAAATGCATGATTCTTCTAGAACATGGCTATTCTTCCCTGCAAGGCAATGCCACTCCTATCATAGAAAGAGGACAGCAAGCTATACCTTGGCATCAATCTAGCAATCCCTTAGCATTAACTTTATATCTGTATTTTTATCATCCTATGGAAAGAATAATGGAAGGAAAATGACCCCAAGAAATAAGTAAAGCTTGTATTTCAATCCCTTCTCTCTATAATCTTTCCTTCCTTCTTCCCACCAATGCTAAGTAAGGTTTCCCCATGTCTCAACGGATCAACTGAATTCAGGTTCTTATCTCCACCCAATTACATTCCTCATGTGCCTTTCTCTGTGCACCCTATCTTATTTGAAGGTAGCCTGTCCCTTTCTCCCAAAACAATCACATGTTGATCTATTCATTTCGCTTTTCCTCTCCATCCCAAGAGTCCTTCACTGGATTAACTAAATAGTTGCCAATGACACTGTAATGTTGCCCAGGTATACATGCTTTCTTTTTTTAAAAGAAATTCAGTTAGCTCAGTATCTGATGCTGGCCTCATTGCACATTCCTCATCTTAGAGCACCCAATTTTAGGTCTATTGCTTGTTTCACCACTTCCTTCCCTTGGCACCTAATTCCTAAGCTAAAGACACAAACACATCAAGTAGTACACATTTATGCTTGTATACAAGAACACATGGTAACAAATTGGTTTTGGTCTAAATAATAATAGGGGGAATGTGTGATGAAATGGTCTGATTCTTTAGTGGGGAGTTAGTTAAAAAGTGAACAAAACAAAGACATCTCAGATACAATACAAGTCCTTGGCATCTCTTAAAACATGTTGAAGATTTAAAGAATTTTAGTTTCATACTGTGCTTGTCCAAAGGCCCTTTGAAAGATCAAGGGTGAACCCCCCCTTTTTCTTCTGCTATGTAAAAGCAAGTTTAGTGACATGCTGCTAAAACTCCACAGTCACTTTGAACTGGAGAATAATAATAATAATTATTATTATTATTATAACATTTCTATGCCGCCCCTTGCCGAAACCTCGGGGCGGCTTACAACATGATAAAATACATTGAAATACAATAGTACATAATAAATTACCATTAAATATAACAATACAAAAATACATTGATTTACAAATACAAAATTAAAATTATCAGTATAAAATAAAAATATAGGAGGAGAAAGAGAAGGAAGAAGAAGTTGCCCAGGCCAGATCATATGTTTTAACAATTGAAATGATGTTTAAATAAAAAGGTCTTTACCTGGCGCCGAAAAACCAGTAACGACGGTGCCAGGCGGACCTCTTTGGGGAGTGAATTCCATAGGTTGGGCGCCACCGCAGAGAAAGCCCTCCTCCGGGTACTTACTCTCCTAATTTCTTTCATGGAGGGTTCTCGGAGAAGGGACTCTCCCGCAGATCTCAAAGGGCGGTCGGGCATATACGGACGTAAGCGCTCGTGCAGGTAGCCAGGACCCAAGCCGTATAGGGCTTTGTAGGTCATAATCAACACCTTGAATTGGGCCCGGGCTTCAATGGGAAGCCAGTGAAGCTGATGGAGGACTGGAGTCATGTGAGCATAACGCCCCGTCCCCGTCAGCAACCTGGCAGCTCTATTTTGCACCAATTGAAGTGTTCGGACTGTCTTCAGGGGAAGCCCCACGTAAAGCGCGTTACAGAAGTCTAGGCAGGAAGTCACCAGCGCGTGTGTCACCGTCGCCAGGCAGTCGTATTCCAGGTAGGGGCGCAGCTGATTAATCAGCCGAAGCTGAAGGAAGGCATTCCTCGCTACCGCTGTCACCTGAGCTTCCAAAGAAAGCTCCGGGTCGAGGAGTACACCTAAGCTGCGGACCTTATCCCTAAGAGGGAGTGTTGCACCATTCAGGACCAGGTCAAATCCACCCTCTCCGAAACCCGATCCGCCAACCAACAGGACCTCCGTCTTGTCTGGGTTGAGTTTCAGTTTATTGGCCCTCATCCATTCCCTTACCTCGGCCAAGCACCGGTTCAGCACAGCCACTGCCTCACCTGGATTAGTGGAGAATGAGAGGTAAAGCTGGGTATCATCAGCGTATGATTCCACCCAAATCCCAAGTATGGCAACTGAATTCTGGGCATTTGCAAGACTCATCCAACAAACCATCTCAATGGAAAATTATCTCCATGCTACTCAGCATTTTGTTGCTAGTTTTGCAACTCATCATTTGTATCGTATCAACCAGTCTTTTTCATTTGCTTCAATTTCTCACTTTGGAAACTAACCTTACGATCCGGCCAGTTGAATTTTTCAAAGACATATTTGTAATCTTCCATAGCTCCGTCAGTGATCAGCATGATGGCTTGGTTACAAAGGCCCCCTTGACCAGCATCTCTGAACTATAAACACAAGGGAGACGTGGTCATAAATATGCACAGAACTTAAAATTGATCAGACTGGCAAGGATTAAATAAGTGTACTCAGACAAACACAGTCTTGGTGAGTACATTTGCTAAATTGTAGCCTTATCTAAAAGTCCTCAGTTAAGGCAAAGTTCCCATCTATTTCAGTGAGAATTCTCTGCTCAGTAAGAGAACCTTGGAAAGTACTTCATAACTGAGAATCCAGACCAGTGCTTAATTTCTAAATGAGAGATATTAAGATTCAAATTTTCAAAAACCAAACCTTCCTGAAAACTTTTCTCCAGTCTCAAAAAGATGCAGCTTTCATGTGATTACAATTTGTGGAGAGAGAAAGGAATTTCGCATATGTTCAGACACATAATTATTTCATATGTCCTATTTGCTTTGGCACAGAAAACAAATTCTGGCAACCAGTCCTGAGTAAACTATGGCTCAAATTAAGTCCTGATCTAGAGCACCATGTCCTTTGAGATTTTTTTACATGTCCTTTCTTTCTTGAGGGTACACTTCTACTGCAGGGATTTTACACACGAATCACAATATTCTGTGCCTTTAGGATCTCTGATTTCTTGTACATATACTGTGATGCTGAATGTCATATGTGACAGTTTCTGCAAGGGTAGCATCCAAACCTTGCTATATCTGCATACCATTTTTGTGAACTTCCCTTTCAAAAGTTTTTATATATCATAAACAGTACTTCCGTGGAAGAACAGAATACATACACCTGGCCTCTAACAATATGCCCAACAAATCAGGAAGAGGAACAGTAACCATGCTGGGCTTCATCTATGGGTGCTCAAAGGAAAACATCTGAATCCAAAATACGTTTCAGTCTGAGGGAGATAAATACACTCCCAGCTATACCCCACATGAAATACAACATTATTGTTCTTTAATGGATTTGCAGTAAATTTCATTTCAGGGAAGCAAACATTTTTATTGAGAATACATTTAGGGAAAGAAGTTAGACTTTCCAAAGGTATAATCAGGACTTTTGCCTACCCCAAATTCAAGGTATTGGTTGCTTTAGTGTAGATTTACAGTTTACTAATACTTCCATTATTATCTGCTTGGCAAGGCTATTTTGCCTTCACAGCTTCCCTGTAGGGCAACTGTGCTGAATGTGCTGATAAAATGTAATGCTTCAGGCATGTCTATTCCTAGCCGAAATGCCACTTGCTACAGCTACTCATCATCTGCTAGTGCAGATGGGTTAAATTATACCAGTGCAAAGCAAAGCAATTCCAAGTTAACTCATTTCATTCACTCAGTACAAGGCCAAGGCTGCAAGTTTTATCTCTGTAAGTGAACCTGACTCAGGAAATATATTCAATTTAATTATGTCATTTTAGGCCTTCACATTAAAGGCTCTCATTCTCAGTCCTTCTAATGCCTTCATTCTAACCCCTTTCACCTCTCTTGTCATTTGGAAAGGAGACACAATCAATCATTCCATATTCTCAAACCATTGAAGAATTGGCACGATGCTAAAATATGAAGGACAAAGTTCTGATTAAATGCAAATGCTAACTCAACAGTATCACCACTGATAAAACATTGTTCTGAATGAGTCAAGACTTTGATCTGTTGGGGTCACCTCTTTTCACAGAATCAAAGTGCATAGTTTACTTTTTAGCTCCACAAGTCAGATTCATAACCCATCTTTCTTTGTTGTAATGACATCACCTTTTCATTGCTATCTGAGTGAAACATTGTGTGTGTCTGTCTGTGTGTGCATGTGTAAATCAATGTTCCTAAAATAACAATGTCAGATATGTCACCATCATCCTCTGTGTTGCCATTCCAGCCAGCATGCTCATCAGCAGCTTTTGGCGCTGTCACAAAGTGTTTGTGTCACCAGTATCTGGAGCATTCCCTTCCTTCTCCTCCAGTGGGTTGCCATAATTGCCACAATGCTGCAGGACACAGAAGGAAGACAGCACACATTCATGTGCACATGCTGTGTGCAAAAAGAAAATCCCAGGCTCACAACATTTCTTACCTCCCTCAGGATTCTGAAGGCTTCCGTCAGGGCTTTGTTCACTGTCCCAACACCTTTTGCTTGTAACTCGTCCACCAGCTGCTTGAAGTGCTGATCAAAGAGAACAAGAATTATATTCTCATAGCACCAAATGGGAGCATGAGGCAAAGAATAATGCAGGGATGGCCAGACATCTAAAACTCTGCATGGATTAACATGGAGCACCTATGCAAGTTTGTATCCCTACTGACTCTAACACTGAGACAGCTCCAGGTCTGGGAGTGCATACATGATGCTATCTCCTTCTTGGATGTTAGTAAGAATCTTTTGTACTCGTGTGAACTGTGTGCAAACTAGAGCTCCCATAAGAAGCTGTTGTACCAAGGGATTGGTGTAAGATCCACATTTGCAGCAAAGACCTGGGTAATCTGGGTAAACCATGACACTGCCTTATAGTACGCTAGACAATTTATTTACCTTTAAAATGTACAACCCATGCTTACCTATTAGGGCAGTATACATAACTTTTTAAAAAATACAATATAATGATTATTAAAAGGCCCTCTGCAAAAGCAATAGTAACTCTACAACCAGCAAATAAAACAAAAACGTAACAACCAACTCAATTTTAAAAGGAAATTGCATTTTTAAAAATCTGAAATGAAAACATGTTAAGATGTCTAGGCAAAAAGGAATGTTCTAACTTGGTGCCCCAGAGAAAACAAGCCCAGCACCAATTGTATCTCCTTCAAGAGGGCATTCTAAACTCAGGGTGCCATCACAGAAAAGATGGTATTCAGAATAGGGCCTCCTCTAGAGTGCTTAATGTATGGGCAGGATAGTACAGGATGAGGCAATCCGTCAGGTATTTGGGCTCCAAGAGATTTAGGTCTCCAAAAGAGATATGAAGCACCTAGAATTAGGCTGAGAAACAAGTAGGGACCATCAGTCCTTCTAGCCCTGCATTCTGGCAGAAGCTGCCCAGGATTTCCTGCAATTGATTTGATTGTTTTTATGCACTGAGGCAATAGCTAGTTTTAGCTATTTTATGATGATAGGATTTTACTACTTGGTTTTTTTGGCATTTTTATCATAAATACTTGTAAATTGCTTTGTACTTTTGCTCAAGAGGAAGGGTGGGATATAAGAATTGTACATTAATATTTACAGTATTATTAAAATTTTGCTTTTAGTACATTGTTGATTTTGAAATGCATTATCTTGTCTATCAAGGAGCAATAGACAACAAGAGCTATAATATGGCACAGCTAAGACCATAGTCTTCAGAATTTTCCAAATCTGGAAGTCTTTCTGAACTCCAGCCTGCAAGACAGAAATTCATTTGGTTTTAGGACCTTGTTTGCCAGGATGCAATAGAGATGTCCCTTCAAGTTTAGTACGTACTTCTCTGTTATCTCTGTCAGCTTGAACCAGGATCCCCTTAAAACAGGATTCGATGTAATGAACATAGTCATTGTACTGTGAAGACAAAAGGGGAAAATGTGACTACTATCAGAGAAATTTCTAAAAAGAGCCAAAAAAGCATTTGCAGATATTGTAATGAATTAAAAACAGCCTCCACAGCTGCACAATGTCATCATAGCTGTGAGACATAGTACGTATTTTAAAATGCAGAATTCTACAAAATACTTTCCCATACTTTGAGGAAATAAATCTGGACACAGATACATGCTAGGCATTTCTTCACCAAAATTCCAACAATATACAGTGGCAGAAGATTTAACTTAAAACCTGCATAGCCCTGGCTGCCAATGTCTGATGTTCTTCCCAAAGACATTTCCACACGTGAATTTAATTTAGCGGAAGTTAGGAGGAGGAGGAACTTGAATTACACCTGTCCCTGCCCTGCCAGCTGAACCAGGTAGCCTTCTTTACTTCTTAAAAGGTTGCAAGAGGTTTTCCTCAGCTGGTTATTCAGGTTATTTCTGTTACTGATACTAATATGATTTTATTGTGATGCCATTTGTAAGCAGCATTGTGAGCCTCTTGAGGCCATAAAATGGGGAAAAAGTATGTAACATTTAAATATATGCTGCAATGAACTCTGCTGTTCAGAACTATAGGAGCAAATAGATGAAGGAGGGCCGATGCAAAGATGGTTCAAGCAATGATCTGCAGGGCAACAGATGGGAGACAGTATGAATCAGGAAGTCGGTAGTTCCAGGGAAATAGGCAAAATAAAGTGGGGGCAACAAGCCACTGCCTACCCACTGCCACTATGTTCTTATTTGTTTGTGGGACTCATGCACATGATGATTTCCAGAGTGCAAAGAGACAGGTCTGCCTTGCGTCACTTAGAAGCTAAAGTCAACCTAGGTGAAGGAACAGAGGAAAGGAGGGGAAGCAGAGGCGAAGGGTACACAGGGGATGTACATGCAATTACTTCATTTACAGGCATTTAGACTAGGTTACTGAGAGAAGCCAGGAAATATTTCATGGCACAAAGCAGGGATTGGGGAGAGAGAGGCTTTTAGAAGTACATGTGGCTATTTTTCGACATTCTCACCTTTCCTCTTCCATATGTTTCTTTTTCCCCACCCCACCCCCCAGTCATCAGTAACCACTTCATCCACTGTATTTGTTCTTTATTTTTAGGAAGATGGGGGGCATAAGGGTTCGTTGCCTTTTAATCCCATGACAATTGCTCTTGAGAATAAATACTCTGTCCTAGCCCATTCAAAGTCTTAATCTGATGGCAAGGGCTATTTTTAGCAACTGCCATCAGTTCCTAGTACAGATAGCTAAAGCCAGAGATGCCTTGGGGTAAATACACTAAACTAATTTCTGTCTGAAATAAGCATAAGAGAAGGGAGGAATTTTGTCAAGACCAGATACATCACTGTCTTCACTAATTCTAGGGGTATCTGGGCATAAGTCCCTTTGCAAGAAATAAGAAGCCAAGCAGTCAAGAAAGTCTCTTTCATAAAACAAAACAGCATTGTTACAATATACCTGCTTAATTTTTCAAAAAAGTGAAAGCATCCAGCCATGGCCTTCCCTAGATCAGACCTTCCTCACCTTGGTGCTCCCCAGGTCTGTTAGAATATAACTCTCAACATCCTCCAGGTAGATGTAGATCCGATTCACAAGGCTGACTGAACTGTTCACATAGTGCATGAATCAAACAGAAAAGTCATGGCTCTATCTTGACAATGACATATAACCAGTCAGAAGATGGTTAAAAGAGGGCAGACTGGAGGACAGAGGGGTGCGGGGTGCAGCCTTCCAAACCAAAGCTCTTGACCAGAGCCATTACAAATCTAGAGCTGACTCTGAAGGAGAGCATGCCTGCAATGAAGAAAGGTATGTTATACTCACAGCGATAACATTGACGAAGTCATTTTCTCCCAGTGTATCCAAAATGGTGACAATGGTGTGTTTGGCAATGGTCAGTAGGAGACCCTTCATGCTTCCACTGATGTCCACCAGAATTACAATATCTTTAGGTGATGTAGCTGCCTGGATGTACCTTGACGGGGACAGAAAAAGAAAGCAGTACAGCAAGTGTGCAAAAGTAAAGATTCAGGACATGTCATGGATATATGATTTTGCCTAGGCTGAGAAATACTGAATATCTGATCTAAACATACAGTACAGTCACAAGAAGGTATAAATTATTTTCCCATTTGACTTAAAAATCCAGGGATGCACCTGCCAAAGAAATAAGCCATGCCGCTAACAGTTTGAAATTGTATAAATACTACCCTGGAAGTAGTTGTAGTCTGCTCTGGTATTCAACACAAATGCCTTCTGAGTAGACAAGCACTATTAGATTTCTATACTTCTTTAAGGAAACAAAATCTGAGAGTGCTATAGAGTTTCATTAATAAGAGAGAAGAAACCCTAAATCTCCACTATCTGAAAATGAGATCTACCCTTAACAACTCCTGTCTTCTCAAGCTTCACTAATAATGAACAAGTACTTTGACAATTAATGTCCCCTTTTCATATTTACACTGATGCCAGGGCAGCATGGCTCCATCTCACTGCAAGTGACAATTCAAAAAGCCCTGATCCATGTGGGGGGAGCTCCTACATTTGGCCCCTCCCAAATGCCACAATCACCCCTCATGAACCATAAGCTGCTAAAAATCTTACTACTGTTATATCAGGTAATTTATATTCCCCAGATCAACTACAACTATTATATCAGAAGGGCGAGGGACCACCTGCCATAATAACGAAAAGCTAAGCATTTGGGCAAGACCAAGTATGATCCCATTATCTGTAAAGCACAAGAGAAATGTAACAGAGACAACTGAAGCTAATGTGTTTGGTATGGATTTCAATAATCAAAATGACTTTATTCCAGGAATTCTTCTTTTTATTTCTCTATTTACCATTGGCACTAAATTACAGGAATGTGAAAAGCTGGCAAAAACTGATGGATAATTTCATCTGGAAAAATAAATAGCAAAGAATATAAACTCACAATATGCAGATTCCCTTTTATAATGGAGTTTGCATTGATAATATCTTTTCATGCTTCTCAGTTATCTTGGGTGGCTGTGCAATTTTCTGAGGATATGTATCATATGGGGCTAAATCTAGTGTTATGCAACAAGCATCTGTACATGCATCAGAAGTTTTCTTTCTTCACCCTCACCCTGCAGTTCCTCTATGCCCTCAACATTTTCTTCAGCAGGTTCCCAAACCCTCTTAAGCATATAGGAGGACATTTCAGTTCCCCACGAAGACTCAGTTTCCTTATCCAACACTGTCATGTATGTGTTGTGTACACATGCATGTGCCTACTCAAAGTTAGCATTAGACAAGTGACATGGAGGAAGAAAAAAAAGCAGAATCGAGAGGTTCTTCTTAAAAGACATGATTCAGCTAGAAGTGAAGAGTGAGAAGGGAGAACCATCTTAATACAATTTGGTTAGAAGGTAATTTTAGCTTCCAGAGAACTGAAAGCCAGCATACACAAGAACAATCTCTTCACAGTTCAGTGAAGAGAAATGTCTTCCCCCCGCCCCATTTTTATACAGCCCAATAGCTGAGGATCTGTTGAAAACATTAAGATACAAACATTCACAAACACACGTAGCAATTGCAATTGAATCAACATAGAAGCATTAGCAGCTGTACACAATAAAATGCAATATTAAAAATGAAGTTAAATAGTTAAACTGTTAAGATGCTGGGAAAATAAAAAGGTATTTACCCAGTACAAAAAAGAACACAAAGCAGGCACCAGGCATACACTCTTTGGGAAACAACTGGAGTACCAGAGCCAAAATGGCCCTCTTCCTGGTAGCTACTTGCCTCACTTGATTTGGAAGGGGTTCCTGAAGATGACCTCAGGTCCAGGTAGGTATATATGGGACAAGGCGATCCTTCAGATAACCTGTCCCCAAGCCATTTAGGGCTTTAAATATTAGTACTAGCACTTTGAATAGGGCCCAGACTTCAACTGGCAGCCAGTGCAGCTGGAAGAGGACAGTTGTAATATGCTTTCATGAGCCAGTCCCCATTAACAGTTTTTTTGTTGTTGTTTTTGCCTTGTTTTAGATCAGCTGAATTTTCCAGACCATTCTCAAAGGCAGAGCCACATACAACACATAGGGATTTTTAATGCTTTCTGTAATCCAAAGGAGAGGATACCAGAACATGGATAAATGTAGCTAGGCTCTCTCTGTCCGGGTAGCGCGGTAGCTGGTATATCAGCTTAAGCTGATAAAGGTGTTCCATGCCCTGAGTCTGCTTGTGCCTCAAGTGACAGTTCTGGGTCCGGAAGCAACCCCAAACTATGAACCCTGTCCTTTAGGGGGAGTGCAACCCCATCCAGAAGAGGTGAAATATCTAACAACATTCTCCACTGAACAGGCAAGGCTTCTACCTTCACCTTTTCCTTAAATCACATTAAAGGATGAAGACCAGTGGGTGAGTTAAAAATCTATAGAATACTACAGGACAAGGTAAATGTACAAAATAAAACAGAATCTACATTTAAGAACCAAACACAAGAGTTGAAATCTTTTCAAAATCTCTCACCAGCCTCGATTTCTGCAATCAAAGGAGAGGACTCCATTTTCATCAGGTGTCCACTTGATCCCTGAAGACACACCAAAAGAATTTTGCAACAACATACAACAAAAGAACAAGCCCTGCTACTGAAGCATTAGAATTGGGGTCCCTGCATTAGAGCTTCCACAACATTAAAATGTCACTACAGTTTGTTCATTCGTTCTTTCTTTCCTGTTTAAATCCCACATTTTTCCTTCAAAGAACTCAAGGCAGCTTACACAATCTTCCTCTTCCTCTTTTTGGTCTTATTCTCACAACAAACTTATGAGGTAGATTAGGTGGAGAGTCAGTGACTATCCCTAAATTGCCCACAGAGCTTTGTGACGGAACCCAGTTCTCCCAGGTCACAGGACAGCACTCTAACCACTATACTGGCTCTCAATATTATTCTCAATATCCTTTTTGAGATGGAGCAACTGGAACTCCTCACAACTTCCCATGGTATGTTCAATCTTTGTTTTACTCATTCTGCATGTTTAATGCATTTTTAGCATATTGGCATTTTTGGTGTCACTACTATCTCATTACCTCTTCCCTGGGCAGTATAATAATATCAATTAATATTGCACTGCCCGTAGACATGGTGTTTTACATGTAAAATACAGCTCCCTGCACAAAATAATAGTCTACATTTAGAAGGGGGAGCTGGAATGTGTGCAGAGGGGAGGAAAAACAAGGATAACAAGGAATTAAGAAAAGCAAATGTAGTTACAAGCCCTTAAGCTTCATAAAAAAGAGGGAGTAAAGGTGCTCATAGAAGCAACAAATTTTGAGGGAGAAAATTTAATTACAACCCACTGTGTTTCTTCCCCTTCTACATTTAAGTTGGCTCTTGTTACAGCAGGTCTTTGATGGCTAGTGTGTGGTTAATAAATTGATTCTATTGCTAATATTTGAACCTGGGATCTCTTATGGGTGTTTTAATTGTGATTTTATGGATTTTTGATGTTTTGCATCTTTACTTTGTATGTCATAAGAGGCATTCCATATTTACAGAGAAGCAGGATAGAAATGTGTTAGAAAAATAACCTAGTCTCACTCACAGTGAGTTGCAAAACCACACTGATTCTGTCATTTACCCACTCTGTACAGCAGAACAAAACCTGTACTCCCCAAAGTCACAATTCATTGAACAGAAAACAGAGTGAGAGTAAGTTCATCATATTTGTAAAGGAAAACATTGTTCTGGGGTTTTCAAACTTTCATACAAGGTTATATGAAATGGGAATAAATTCAACTGGTAGAGAGAAATGCATTAAAGGTTCATCAGCTATATAGGCAAATTTGTAATCTATTTAAATTAATAATTCTTACATGTACCATCCATGCACGCATGGAAAGCAAAGTGAAGGACTTCTGGGTTTCATTTATTTCAGCAGAAGACACTTGGATATCCATTTAAATCTCCCACTGAAATTAGTAGGATTTTCTGCCACATCCTACGCATATTTATTAACACAGCTGTCAGTATGCATAAAGCAAAAATAGGTGCCAAAGATGTGGCTATAAAGAAGTTGGCAGACTGCAACTCCCATCATCCCTAGTCAGACTAACCAATGGTGAAGGGTGGTGGTAGGTGCAGTTTAATAACATTTGGAGAATCATACATTCCCCAGGCCTGGCACTAAGGATCCCAGCTTTAAAGGGTTTTAATGCTAACTGATTCATCCAGATTGTGTGTGTGTGTCCATAGAACCTCTCAAAACTGAATCTGATTTACCATGTTTTCCTATTATAATTAAAAGCGCATATTCTGGGATAAGGCCAGTTAGGAATAAGACTTTTTACCTGGATAAAGCCTGAAGAATCCAGTTGAGCTTCCAAAGTACTGCCAAGTGAGAGTTGGATCTCTTTCAAAATTGTCCACAAACACAGGATTCAATGCTTCAGACATATAAACCCCATTCAAAATATCAGGGTCTGTGACAAAAAGGGAGGATTTAAAAGGAGCAACAACGTTTTTAAAAAATGAACAAGGAAGGAGTAACAAACTGTGGAAGACATACTGTAGATACATCAACAGGCTCCACACACAATATCTAGTGAAACTTCCCTCTGCAATCAAAATGGCTAGATGCCCAAATATGCACATATGATGAAGCTGCTTTGTCACAGTGTCAGCACCAGGTACTGAAAAGATCAAGTCCACAGGACAGAAAATACACAAATATGCATATGCTCATTTATATATGCTCTGGAGTCTGAGTGTATAACTTTAAAGGATCTTGCTTCTTAAGGACATCCCTATCTGTAAAAGGAATGTATGAAGAGGGAAAGGAGGGTATTGGAGGGTATTTCAATTGGAGGGTATTTCAAAAAAAAAAAAAAAACTTCAGGCAGAATAACTGGAGCATACAACAGGAGGGTGGAGCACATGCAGCAAAAAGCTGGCTAATCCAGGGGGATGAGATGCAACAGAGATTATCAAGGCCCTGGACCTTTATTTCAGTGAAGTACTCAGTGACAGAGTGGTGGGACAGATGGTCTCCCTGAGAGTCAGAGCTCCAAATGAAATATCTGGGGCTACAGGCATAGTGGGCAACCCCTAACACCATCCCTGCCAATTCAAACCACTCATCTGTCTCAAACAACTTTCTCTAGGACTGGGAGCAATTATCCCTGGACTCCAATGAAGATCGTTTCCTCTCCTGCTATCAGAGTTCTGTTAACTAGAGATGCTTGATATTTGAACCTGAGATCTAACAGCAAAACTGCACTTTACACTGGGAGATCTACATCTGATCTTATTATTCTTTTTATAAATGCAGCTATGGCCTAAATTCAGCACAGAGTTAGTAAGAAAAATTCCTATGCTAGGAAAGCTCTGTTGCCTTTTCTAGCTGTTCAAGTGGTTGCACAAGCACTAGCAGAACACCCTGTAAACCTAAGATACATAATGCACAGCACTGCCCGCTGTGCAAGCAGAACTTTGGTTAGATTCTCTGCTTGTGTAATGTTCAGAAGTTGGTTTCCATCACCACAGTATAATTTATGCTAGCAGAGTGACACCACTGGGGATATAACCCAACATTGGTGTGTCCGTGGTAATTTATATAGGGTAGCAGTGCAGCACCTGGGTGTTTTCCTCCCTGCTCTGTTTACCTGACAAAAAACATTGCCTTTCTTGTCCTGTGGCAGAAAAATATAGGAGGCTGTATGACAGCTGTGTTTCATATACAGCTGGTGGATGGAATAGAGGCTTCGGCAAATGGAGTGGCATAAAAATGTTTTAATAAATAAATAAAAATAAAAATAAATTTGATCAGGATAATGAACTGAAAAGAAATGGTTAAGTGCCCTCCACCTGAGCTGACCCCATACAATTAGCAGCTCCCACTGCCCACAATAAGTGAGGAGCAATTATGGATCGTTTGCCCCAGACTATCCAACCTGTCATCCATCAGATGTGTAAGACTGCAATTCCCATCATTTAGCCAATGACCATGCAGGCTGAGAAGGTTAGGAACTGCAGTCCCTCTGGAATCAGTGCAAGAATCCATATTTCAGAGTATGTGCAAGGCTATGGTCACATCTCACTTCTCCTCCTCCATTTCTAAGGCTGCAAGCTGAGTTTTGTTACTTTGGCTGTGCTTTTGCTGGTACCTTAACAAAAGAATCAAAGCAGGAACACTGTACCTTTGTTGTAGACATTTGTTGGAAGCTGTATGTCACTGTATGTTGTATTTACCAGCAGGTTATTGAAATGCTCATTTGGTTCCAGAATGAATTCATCACCAAGCTCCACATAATTATCTTTCTCATCCTTTTCATTAATGAGAACAGCGTTGTAATAATCAAACTGGCAATGAATAAAGATGCACAAGAATAATGAATATTTCAATGGGAAACAGTACCATATAAGATTTCAGCATCTGCACTTGATGTTGGTCCTTGGATATAACATTCTGGCCTCAGAAGGGAACAAGAATTCCTGGGTTCTGTTCAAATCAGGGATGCAACTATCAATAATGGAGCCATGAAACACCAGAATGTATATGTCAAATTACAGTGCAAGTCTATGTATTTGGCCCGTTCCATTATGCCCAATTGGGTTTTGGGTTTTTTTTTGCCCAATAGGTATAGGAACATTTGTTTGGGGGTACAATCTCACAATGTGAACTCATACACCAAAACTCAGGCATTAAATCCCACTGAGCTGACGGGATCTGACTCACAGGTAAGCGTGTGTGCATGAGACTACAGCCTAAATATCAACTACATATTCCTTGACAGATCAGACCACCAAACCTAGTGCTGAAAAACTGCAAAAATATGAGAATGTATTATTTCAAACCTACAGAGAAAGAATGAGAGGGAAACATGTAGCTTCCAGTGGTACAACAATTTGGTAAGATAATTCAGAGAACTCACCTTGAAGGAGGAATAAATATTAGCCATTTCTTCAGAAACAAACTTTTGTCAGGCTTCTGTTCATGGTCAAATGAACATATCTGGGAGACTGACTGAGGCAGGTCCTGCTGACCCAAACTTTTGTGGATTCACATGAATCCTTTGCCATTACCAATGATAAATGTACATCTGCGGCATTTAGCATCGTGGTGACTATTCTTCCAACACATTCATCCCATCCTTCCAACAAGGACCACAGGGCTGTATGCACAGTTCCCTGCTACTATTATTCTTACTACACTCCCAGAAGTAGGTTAAGCCAAGCCATGATGACTCTGTGAGGAAACAGGCAGCAGATCCATGCAATTTTATTTCTCACTACTAATCCAACTGAAGTGAACATAAATGGGCCAGTAAGAAACAGCACTGCTTCAGAGTTCTCTGCACTGCTTTATAGGAAGCTGACAGAATGGCGAAGTACTGGGGGAAGTCCTGGCAGCTTACAATGTGAAGGCTCAGGAAAAAGTCAGACATGTGCTTGAAAAGAAGCACCTGAGACTCTAGGAGAGGCAGGTGGGGAATTTATCCCCCTATGGCAAACAGGGCCTCTGAGGTCTGGAGGAAAGGCTCAGTTCAATTCAGTCCTCTGCAACAAAAGGAAAGAGACATGCAGCTCTGAGAATATATCACAGGCTTGCTGAAAATCACCCAGTGAATTTATTGGTTGAGGCAGCTATCCTTGCTCCTAAATCTGAAGCTACTCTCACACCTGTACATTTATGCAGGTATGATTTGAGACCCTCCTTTTTCCAGGGTCTGGATTGTACATACAGGAACTGGATTGCACATTGATACTTGCGTGTGTGAGGGCACATAGATTCTATGCAAACAGAGTATGTAGGTTGTAGAGGGGGCACAACCCTGATCAATCCCCAAATAAATCTTTGAATAGGGATTTATAGATTAAAAGATCACATAAATCCACTTTCCAAGTTATATGACTTTTTGATCTATATGTAATAATTTGCACGTAATACTAGTTCACCCAAAGCAAACTTGCAATGGCCCGCAACAGACCCAAGGATTCTAATCACATTCCTAGATTCAAGATTTCTCCATTCCAACCAAGCTGCTGATTTTTCCTGTCCTGAAGCCAGAACAATAGGTCAACTTTTTATTGTGACATATAAAACAGCAGACTGATATTAAACAAACCTCCATAGAGAACACCCAGCAGCCTGTCTTCACCAATGGGTGAATAATTTATTTGGACTCAAGGACACTTCCTGGATTTTTGGAAGATGTAGGTTGTTTCTTTCAGAAATAAGCAGCTGAAATGCCCCCCTTTAATGTCACCATTAAGGGTGAAGATGACCTGTTCTTATTTGAATTTCTTTTAACTAGAATGAGTTACATGTCTCCTGCCTGTGCTTGCATATTCCATGCAGACATAATTTTTTCAATTACCTATATACTAAGATTCATTTTAAATTCCACAGGATCCAACACTGATGAATCTGTCAAACGTACAGCTGAATTTCAATCCTTCATACCACCTTGGCAACAAAAAATGCCTAGGTAATTGGCACTCTTGCTAACAGGCTATCTGGAGATAGAAAATAGCATAAGGGGAGCTCATTAAATGGCACAGTTCAAATATCAGGGATATTGATAAATGCAAGGCATCATTCATGCCAGCTATTTGCAGATGCTCTTAAAACTACCATCTGCACCAACTTCCTGCTCAGTCTTTCCACAACCATGTTTTATAGTCTTTGATAGTTAAGAGAGTAGTTGTGCTGGAAAGAAGAAATGGGGGAAATATGTTCATGACATCAAGCCATGTCAAGAATAGATTCCAAACAGAATCCATCTTCTCCCTTTTCCCTCCAAAAGGGAATGGCTCCACCCTCTGGGAGGTTTGCACTGCCTAACTGGTCTGCTCACTTGGCTTTGTGACATGCCACTACATTGATGAACTCACGCCCTCCCCACAGGCAATCTGATTCTCACTAGCCACTTGGTTATTTTTACTTGTTGACCTTGGCGTTTCAGAAACACATTCCAATCCTTCCTCTTCTCCTTCTAACTTCACCTTTGGACTCAGCTTTCTAACTTGGAAATAATGTATTTGAAAGAAGCAGGCCCAATCCTTACAAAAGACTTTGAATCCTCTATTTATTTGTTATTGGCTCAGAAATTGAAATAGTGACCTGGAGATTGTATCCAAGCAACTAAACTCAAAGACTGGGCTAGGATCTTGTTAAATAAACCAACAACTTGAAATCTTTATCCAAGGAGATCTCAGATTGCTGAGGATTAACAACTTATCAGACAATTTCAAACTTTTGCTATCGTATCTGTCATAAATACACCATCCCTTGCAAAGAATTCACAGCTAAACATCATCCAAAAATAGAATACGATTTCCTTATCCCACAGCCCTTCATTCTGAATTTTCTTTTCCTTGCTGCACAAGAACTTCACTTCCTTTCTCTTCTTCCAAAACAAGTCAGGAAACTTCAAACTCGTTAATAATAATTTATACAAAATGTTCCAAGTATTCAAAATGCTGTCAATTCATACCCTAAATAACTTTAACAAAATAGGACAGGTTAGTAAATTGCATTGGAGCTAAGCTATCAGAATTAGTTTTATTTCAGAAAAGGAAGAGTCTCAAAACTGTGTGTAGAGCCTTTGGGATTGAAATTGCAGATACCTAGGCTCTGTTCAGTTCTTCAAATTAATGCAAAATCAGGAGAGGAAACAGTGAGTGCAATGCAGGCCCTCCACCCCAACATTTCATTGAACATAGAAACAGGTTACTTATGTAATCACAATGATGTTAAGTCATTAACACCATAATCTGTATCCTGGTTTGCTGCAGCCTGAAGTCACAGCTCAGAGGGTCATATCAAAGTCATGTCCTTCCTCTCCAGCAGAAAAAAAATCCCCTTTCAAATTTCCAGCAACACAAGAAAAGATGTTGCTTCAGCAAGGAGCAGAAGTCATCTGAGGACAAGTCTGTTCTGCACTGGGTTCCACTTCCTTGAAGAGAAACTTGGGGGGCTTATGCAATTGTATTGCTTAAAGGGCCCTTGTCTTATTTAGAATAATTTGACTTCTGCAAGGTCTAGAACAGATGTCTCTGGTTTCTCAGGTGAACTCAGTAGTGAGGAGTGCTTTCTATCAGCTTAGGCTGGCCTGTCAGCTGCATCCCTACTTGAATCAGTGGAGTCTTGCTACAGTATCTACACACTACTAACCTCTTGCCTGGATTACTGTAATGCACTCAACATGGGACTGCCTTTGAAAACTGCCCAGAGTTTGCAGCTAGTCCAAAATTGGGGAAGTTGCCTGCTGACAAAGATTGGCCCTTGCAAGCACATCATGCCAGTCCTTTGCAAGCTACTTTGGCTGCCAGTTGCCATCCCAGCTAAAATCAAAGTGTTCACAATAATATGCAAAACTCTAAACAGCTTGGGGCCAGAATATCTGAGGAAAGCCTGTCTCCATATATCCCAGCCCAATAACTGAGATCTTCATCAGAGACCATTTCCCAAATTCCTCACAACAAAGTAAGTGGGGAGATGGCAAGGAGAAGGACATTTTCTGTAATAGCCCCGCATCTGTGCAACATCCTCCCAATTAAGATCCATCAGGCATCATCTTTTCTTCCATTCAGACATCTGCAAAAAACATTTATCTTCTGCAATTACGTTGGTGACTAGGTGGATTTGGTTTTACTGTGGTTGTTTTTAAAGGTTCTAGTGATGCTAATTGCTATGTTAAAAGAAAAAATTCTTAGTCACCAGACACTTTGCACCATTTTAATGCATTTTATTACTATGTGAATGCCTGTCCTTATTATTGTTTGCTTAATATTTATTGATTTACCATTTGTTGTTGTATTGATTTGTTTTATTCTTATTTTTAACGTAATGCAAGCCACCCAGAGAGTCTCATGGCTATGGGGTGCGGCATACAAATGCAACAAACAAAACAAAATAAATAATAAACAGGGTTAGAAAACTGGTGTTCTCCAGATGTTTTTAACTATAATTACCATAATCTTTAGACTATGTTAACCATGGTTGATCAGAGTTGCAGTCCAAAATGCTTGGAGAGTATAGATTTCCTCTCTTTAGTCTAGAAGTTTTGAGGGCTGCTGAAGACTTAAGCCTTTGAATTCTGCAACCTCTGGCCAGAAGAACCTGGGGGGGGGGGAGTATTCAAAATTATCCCCAGGAGAAAATGACCTTAATCTGGTTTTTCCTCAGCATGTTCTGGAACCCCAGTTCAGGGCCACAACAACCTGTTGACCGCAACAAAAATTCATACTCATCAATCTTCCATATTTTTTAGATACAGATGGTATGCAAAATCATAAGCAACTTTGATCCATGTGATTTGCAAATACCCTGCTACCAAGTCTATGGAAAATATGTCATTAACTGAATGGATTCAGTACTTTGTTTTAAACACCTTACTTTAGGATGCATCCCTGTAAATTAGACAGTTTCTGCCATACGCTGGATTAGCAGGTCATTGGTTGTAGCAAAGTGTTTTGCTTTACCATTATAGAAACCACATTCTGTGCCTATAATTGAACATTAGAAGGAATATTTCAGACCTGTCCATTAAAGGAGGAATCAATTACTACAGGAGAGATAAATCAGTAACAGTTAATACAATTTAGTACTCTTTACTAGAACTGTTCTCTAATTGCGCATTATTCTTCGGCTGGTACAAAAAGCTCCCCTTCCTTATTGCCTTTCATTTAATACTTTCTCATTACTTCTAGAAAGCCAGTGTTGACAGGGTAACAAAATGAGTGGGTAGAGTCTTGCCAAACTGTGAGATCCCTAAACTTTCTCTGATTGTACTACAGAAATTTATTCATTAAAAATATTAACAATGTAGTGCTTTGCCCACATTTATGTCAAAATACTTCATTTCCAGTGTTTAGCTGCATATTATAGGTGGATGATGTATGCATATACATATCTGTCAATTACCCAGGAGCCATTCTCTTGCACAGACGAGCAAGGTAGGTCCAAATAATGCCAATGAACCCTACCATAGATAAAATCATAGGTACAAATAATGCAGGAATGCAGGTGATGTGGGACTTGGTCAGTCAAATGACAGATTTGTGACATTCATAAGACCACCTCCATACTGCATGGAAATGGCATTTGCTACATTCAACAGGATACCACAAAGCCTCAGTTCACAAAGTTACTTAGCAACTGCTGATTAATATGGCAGGTTATACAGCAATGATACCGAATCTCCAGCACAAAGAGGTTCCCCACCAAGCCTGCAAAGCCTTCCTGGGTTCCACCAGGTTGTGGGGCTTACAGATAACAGCAAGAGTGCAGGCAATGTGGGAACTAACTGGTGCCAGGAGGAACAGCTGCCCCATGTGCTTGCTAAGTCCTTTCCATAGCTACTTTGGACCATGATGGGCTACTGATGCCCCAGGTAGTGCCAACTTGCAAGAGCTCAACATTAGTATATATTCCTCAGCAATGTTTAATGAATTCTGTTCAAGTTTAGGTTTTTATCCGGATCTAATTCAAAGGTTCACAGCTGGAACAGACATCCAATCATTTGTTTGTCCCTGCTCCCCACAAGGCTACCTATCTCTGGGGTCATGTGAAAAATGATTTAATCTGCAGCAGCCATTTCTATCATAAAAGCACTGATAAATTCAGGGCTCCATAATTGTGGAAATGGCTGCTTGTCACCACAGGGTGCAGTTGAGTGTTGTTGTTGTTATTCGCAAAGTCGTGTCCGACCCATCGCGACCCCATAGACAACATTCCTCCAGGCTTTCCTGTCCTCCACCATCCCACGGAGTCCACTTAAGCTCACACCAACTGCTTCAGTGACTCCATCTAGCCACCTCATCCCTCTGCCATCCCCTTCTTCTTTTGCCATCTATTGTTCCCAGCATTAGGCTCTTCTCCAGGGAGTCCTTCCTTCTCATTAGGTGGCCAAAGTATTTGAATTTCATCTTCAGTATCTGGCCTTCTAAAGAGCAGTCAGGCTTGATCTCCTCTAGGACTGACCAGTTTGATCTCCTTGTGGTCCAGGGGACTTGCAGGAGTCTTCTCCAGCACCACAATTCAAAGGCCTCAATCCTTTGGCGCTCAGCCTTCCTTATGGTCCAGCTTTCACAGCCATACATTGCAAACAGTTGAGTAGCTTGGTTCAAACAGGTATTTCTTCAAGGTATTTCATAACCCATTTGAGAAACAAAAGCTGCTTCACAAAGGTGTTTCACACATAATATCACTTGCAGGCATCATCATAGAATGACTTGTATGTGTGAATGGGCCAATATGCATCTGATACCACAGAGAGAACATTCATAACAACCATATTGTTATCAATCTTTCAGTCTAAAAGCAAAACAATTCTCATTCTGTTTAAGTCTCCCTGATAATCTTTTGACTGGCCTAAGAATTCTTTTTGTTCTTCACTTTTAATCAAACTACCCATATTCACACTTCCTGGAACAAATATACAAATTGCAATGCAGTTGCTTTTGGTTTCTGCATTTTTTCAAATTTTGTAACAGAATTCTCAGCTCAAAGAAGAGTGTATCAAATGTGTGCAAATGCATATATTTAGTGAAAAATGCATTAAAATAGTGTGTGGTATGTTTATTAACTCATGTGGAAATAGTACAGTAAGAAGTTATGGATGAGCACATGTGGCGCTGTCATGATCTAGAAAATTTTTACCCCTAACCCTTGCCCACAGTCACTCAGTAAGTTTCATGGCTGGGTGCAGATTAGAACTCAGACCTCCCAGGTCCCTCTGTAACTGCTACACCACACTGACTCTAGATGTCAGGGAGTTCCAAGATCTAGCCTTTCCCTAACATCTATTATTATTATTATTTTGGTAGCTGGTTATTCTCGAGAATAAATCCTTTAAAAGAAAACCTTCCCCTTTTGTGTATTTTGGGCATACACACACCAGGACATGGGCCATTTCATCAACATTATTAATATTGTTATTATTAGAATTATCAATTTCATTTCTACACTGGTCAATAGCCAACACTCTCTAAATGGTTCACAATTCTGGATGGTTCCCAATGGGGCAAGTTTTAAAAATTTATTTATTTATTTGGTGGGGCAAGAGTAAATATTGGGACTTGAAATCTGATGTGCTAACTACCAGCTATGGTAAAAACTGCGGCCCTGCAGATGTTCCTAGACTGCAACTCTCATCATTCCTGACCTATGGCCATGTTGGCTAAGACTGATGTTGGAACAGCAACACCTGGAGATCCACATGTACTCCATCCCTGCTCTAGATATCTTTTCTTTCATACTGGATACTACATAACACATACATTAAGAACCTGGAATAAACATGGAATGACTAGTGGACCTACCACCAATGAGGAGTTGAATTCATGATACAGATCTGCATCCTCTGCTGCTTCAACCAACCGCTGTCAAAATCACAAAAGAAAAATGAAGAACCACAGTGAAAATCAAAGGACAGCACTTTATAAAAACCTAACTTAGAAAGGAAAAGAGCAAATTAAAAAATAACAAAAAGTCAAATGAGCCCCATGTAGGGAAACATTATTTTCCCCAAAGGGAAGTTCTGTGCCTTTCACAGTTACATGGCAAAAGGTTCAGCTTCTCCAAAAGGAGATGGATTGGTAAATAATGTCTCAGCTGCTGAATTTCTGTCATATGGAAGCTGTAGGTACAAAACACCTGTCAGATAAGGGCTGAATTTTGCACCATGGCAAAATTTATCCCTGTCCTGCATTTCTTTTTCAAGCCAAACTATGGGGCTACAAAAGCGCAAAGAGTGTTTTAGACTTTTATGTGAATCTTTCCTGCCAGAAGAGTAAATTTAGCAGGTTGTATTCTTTACCTCTCAGGGCTGGCTCCAAACAAGCCTTTTTTAGGTTTACTAAGCACACTATTTTCTGTTGAAATAGAACCCTGAGGAAAAACTGTCAAGTGGCCCTTCTTCCACCAGGCTTACCGACAGGAAGGCTGTTAACAGGGTCACAGGTCCACTGGGGAGGAAACAGTCTGACTGTGCTTATTAAAGCAGAAAACAGCCATTTACAAACTTTGCCAACACTACGAACTGAGCCAGCCAGTACAAATTGAACTGCTCAAGTAATCCAATTATTTCAGCTCAAAATAAATTATACACATGCACACATGCGTGCACACACAGAGCGTTTAAAATAAATATGTATAAGTGGGAGCAAAACTACACATGATATGAAAGTGCTGTGAGGTCTTTATTAAACGAAATCCAACCATGGAGAATTGCCAGTTTGATAGTAATGGTGGGAGAGATACGCAGGGGTATTTATCCCTTTCCATCTGTACACTTTACAATTAAAATTAAATTAAAAGATCAGTTTTTGTCCTGCATTGAGTAGCAGTGGTGGGGATACCTACAGGACTGTCTCTATGTGAGTATGTATCTGGAGGAATGTATGCAGCAACTGATAAATAAAGACATGTTCCTTTTCTGCTCCCAGCAATACCCTGCCATGCCCAAAAATGAGAGCATAACTCAGCCACTCAGCAAATTATTATTATTATTATTATTATTATTATTATTATTATTATTATAACATTTCTATGCCACCCCTTGCCGAAGCCTCGGGGCGGCTTACAACACAATAAAATACATTGAAATACAATAGAACATAATAAATTACCACTAAATACAAAAAATACACTGAGATACAAACATAATAATATAAAATTAAAATTAACAGTATAAAATAAGTAAATAAAGAATATAGGAGGAGAAAAGAGAAGGAAGAAGAAGTTGCCCTGGCCAGATCATATATTTTAACAATTAAAATGATGTTTAAATAAAAAGGTCTTTACCTGGCGCCGAAAAACCAGTAATGACGGTGCCAGGCGGACCGCAGAGAAAGCCCTCCTCCGAGTACTTACTCTCCTAATTTCTTTCATGGAGGGTTCCCAGAGAAGGGACTCTCCCGCAGATCTCAAGGGGCGGTCGGGCATATACGGACTTAAGTGCTTGTTCAGGTAGCCAGGACTCAAGCCGTTTAGGGCTTTATAGGTCATAACCAACACCTTGAATTGGGCCCGGGCTTCAATGGGAAGCCAGTGAAGCTGACGGAGGAATGGAGTCATGTGAGCATAACGCCCCGTCCCCGTCAGCAACCTGGCAGATCTATTTTGCACCAATTGAAGCGTTCGGACCATCTTCAGGGGAAGCCCCACGTAAAGCGCGTTACAGAAGTCTAGGCGGGAAGTCACCAGAGCGTGTGTCACCATCATCAGGCAGTTGTACTCCAGGTAGGGGCACAGCTGATTAATCAGCCGAAGCTGAAGGAAGGTGCTCCTCGCCACCGCTGTCACCTGAGCTTCCAAAGAAAGCTCCGGGTCGAGGAGTACTCCTAAGCTGCGGACCTTATCCCTAAGAGGGAGTGCAACCCCATTCAGGGCCAGGTCAAATCCACCCTCTCCGAAGCCCGATCCGCCAACCAAATGGTTTGCATGCAAAAGGTCCTAGAGTCAATCCATGGTACAAGTCTGACCTGGATTGTCCTACAGAACCACTAGTTTGGCAGGTGCAGCATGGTATACAGGGAAAAATTCTTTGCCGCTGAAATTCCACCTTCTAGATATTGATGGCATAGGATCCAATTTATCACATCAATTTGAGACAACAAAGCATATGAATCACTGAAATCTGATAAATGGTCTTATACCACATCAAATTACTTATCCATTCAGCCTAGTATCACTGACTGCAGCTGGCACCAGTTCTCCAGAGCTGATGCTTTTCAGTTAGAGATGGGGAACCTCAGGGTTAGAGGCCAAATCCAGTCCTCCTGGGTTCTTGGGGTTCCACAAATCACCTTCCTCCCTTTTCTAGCTCCATCTGCTTTTCTCCAGCTCCCCATCTCTTGGTGGTTTATCAGCTTTTATGCAGTTTATTTCTCCCATTTTAAAAGTAAAGAAAAAAAAAGACTCTATCATTTACTTATTGGCAGAAGGAGTTTTAAACTAGAGGCTGCTGAGATTAATATATTTCCTGCATCCCATTTGCTTTTAGTTTCATCTGCTTTGCTTCTGGCCCCACTGGAATGCAGGTCCTGGGAGATTCTCCGAAACTCAGTTTGGCTCTTGGGTTCAAAGAGATTCCCCATCCTTGTTTGAGGTATGAGGGACTGTTTTCATTACTTCTGTTTCTTTCCTTCTCACTCTTGACTAGGGCAGATTTTGGGAACAAAATAATGCCTACCTCAACAGCTTCTACTTTTCTCCGCAGCATGTTTTCCATCTCTTCAGAGAACTTTTTCACCAACTCCAAGCCATCCACCTCTTTGATCTTCAGAGTTGGCTCCACATCTTTATACTTCTATCAAAATAAACAAGGAAAAGTACTGATGAAGAAAGGATTTCAGAAGGAACATGATAGGTCAATTGTCAGTAAAGCTGGTTACTGAAGTCATTATGTGGTACAGGTTTCAAATACAATCTTGGAATCTTGGCTTGCTCAGCAGCTACCATCTCACTCCAATGGTGGCCCCTCTCTCCCTCTCTCCCTACCAGAAGGCATCTAAGGAAAGATTTTGCTCAGGCAGGCAGGGGATGGCAGCAGAAACACTGTGAGGGCAGGAAGCAGGGTGCCCTAATGTCCTGCAGTGTAGGCAGGGATAAAAGGTTGCTTTCACTGAGTACCAAACCAACAGGGTAGGTTGCCACCATGTGTTGCATCAAGATCAGCCTGAGCCTGGAAGGATTCTCACTGTTTTAACAGGATTCTAAGGACAATGAAACAAGGGCCCAGACCAGCTTTCCAAAGCTCTAAGCCTAAAACCATAAAGTGTAATATTAACTAAAAGGAAAGCTTTGGTCTTAGTACAAGGTCAATCTGAATCAAGTGCACACTTTCATATATAATAGATGCTAAGTTACTTGCAAACAAAGTGAAAAGGGAAGAAGAATAGCATACAATAGAATTAGATTAGATGTTTGGAAACAATACTTACAAGGCAAAACAACACAACCCAATAAACCTGTCTGTGTATCACAGGGGCATGAATTTTCAATAAAACAGGGCCTCAGAAAGTGAACACTCCAAAACAAATATTGGACAGGGCAAAACAAAAGCAAAGACCCGGGCATCTTTTCTCCACCACTCAGTTTTATACCCACAAGCCTTGAGCAAATTTGAGGTGATTCTGAGTAGCCAAACACACACTAGCTGGCAACAATTTGTGCTGTCTTTCTGGGCAGAAAGTTCCCCCCAACACTCAGTTGGACTTGTTCATCCCAATTAATGAGGGTTCTACTTTAGCCTTGATGCCCAGGATGGCATGAGACAACACCCAGATATTTTAATGAAATGAATACCTGCAGGCTTAATGTTGCAGAATGGAATAGGCTTCTAAAAGACAAAAGGTAAATGGATTTCTTCACAAATGCTGTAAGCCTGAGCTCCAAACAAGAGAAACTGCAGACGTTCTGTGGAAGAGATGGGCCCAGGAGGACTGAGGATGCAGTATAAAGCTGAGCCCAAGTGGTTCCAGAATAGGTTGATTCGTATTCATCTGTGCAAGTAAATCAAGGATCTCAGCAATGCTTTTTTCCTCTTCTCTCCTAATCTCTTTCTTTGTGTCTCATGTCTTTTTAGATCATCAGCCTGAGGCATAGTCAAAATATTGATTCTTGTAAGCCACTTTGGGAGCTTTAAGACTGAAGATTGTGATATAAGAGCCAATGGGGGGTAGCGATTAAGAGCATGCAACTGGGACTCAAGAAATCTGGGCTTTAGCTATGCAGCCAACTTGGTGACTTTGGGCCAGTCACAGACCCTCTGCCCAACATACCTCACAGGGTTGTTGTTGTGGGGATAAGAATGAGAGCAGGAGGAAGAGAATGACAGAAGACCCTTTGTGATCTTTAAAACAAGAGGAAAAGAAAAAAGGTGGGATATAAAACTAATAATAATAAATGCTTTAAATGAATGATTAGATCTGGATTGATAGAAATAGACCACAACTAAAAATAATTAATCATAAATCTAATAAAAGAATGCACCTGAGATGCAAACATGTTCTAAAACCACTGGCAAAGCCCCTGCCCCCCACATTCCAAAATAATCTTACTAAAGTAAATGTGTAGCCTAAGCAGCTTAATATGCACAAGTAATTGATCGTTGTAGCAATTAGTTGCTTCTAATTACTTGCTGACATAAATTACATGCTCAAAAATAGAATGCTACACTTTTAAAAACCAGGACTTGGGTGCATGCAGGTGAAAGCATCACATGCAAATGTGCAGTGAAACACCTCCTGTATCTTGTCAGTCTTTCCATAGGAAAAAAGTTCAGTATCAAGTAAAAGACATAGGAAAGAAGGGGGGGTCAACTATTAAATGTGGATGGCAAAATGATAACAGATGACAAAGAAAAGGCAGAAATGCCAAATTCCTGCTTTGGCTCAGTCTTCTCCCAAAAGAGGATCATGGTCTTCCGGATGAAGGGAAAGTTCAAATTAAAGTAGTAAGATGGCAGCTTGAGACTGATAGGCGAATGGTCAAGGTTCATCTAATTGCGCTGCATGAGATCAAATCTGCAGGGCCCAATGAACTCCATCCCAAAGTCATAAAGGAGGTGACCAAAGAACTCTTAGAACCATGATTGCCTTTGAGAACACATGGAGGATGGGGGAAGGGACTGAAGAAGGACTAATATTGTCCCCATCTGCAAAAAAGAAGCGGTGAACTACAGACCAGTCTGTCTGACATCCAACCTTAGGAAAATTCTGGAGCAGATTACAAAGCAATCAGTCTACAAACATCTTGAAAACAATGCAGTGATTACTAGAAGCCAACATGGATTTCTCAAGAATAATTTCTTCTGGGCTAATCTGATTTCCCTGATTGGGTAACCTCTTGATGGACTTTGGGAATGCTGTGGACATAATATATCTTGACTTCAGCAAAGCTTTTGACAATGTGCCCCATGATATCCTGAGTAGCAAATTAGCAAAAAGTGGGCTACATGGAACAACAATCGGGTGGATCCACTGTTGGCTACAGAATCAGACTCAATGAGTGCTTATCAACAGCACCTTCTCAAACTGGGGAGAGGTAATAAGTGGAGTACCGCAGGGTTCAGTTCTAGGTTCCATGCTCTTCAACATTCGTATTAGTGACTTGGATGAGGAAGTGCATGGAATGATTATCAGATTTGCAGATAGAACAAAACTGGGTAGGATAGCTAATACCCTGGAGGACAGTCCAGCTCTCTAATGATCATACCACACTGGCTCTCAGATCCTTTTTCTTATCACAGTGCTGTACTTCAGTGTCAAATCACTGTACTATTATGATTGGTAGCTGTAGCATCCTATTGCAACAATGGCAGCAATGGTAATGAAAGTGCAAGGAGGGTAACAAAAAGAAGTGAGGATGCAGGTTGACGGTGGCTTGCATGTAGTTTACCCTTGACATACATCTACTAATTTACACCAATTCTCTCTTAAGTTTTCTTGGAGAGAAGTTCCAAGAAAGTTCCATGAGAGACACGGAAAATGAATCACTAACTGAAATTCTAATATGGTATAGCCTGTACCAAGCCAGAATTTCCAGGATTATAGGAGGCAAGTCAAGACACATACATCTGCCATATTTGGTGACTATTTGCTGTTAGAGGATGAACTGTGATCCTACACTGTTGAGGTGCTGTTGGACGCACACCCAAGAGGAAGTGCTGAAGTTGTGCCCTGCTTGTGAGCTTCCAGAGACATCTTGCTGTTTTGCATTTCAAAAGCAGAGTGGTAGACACAGATGACAAGGAACTGCATCTAGGCAAGTGCATGGAATTCCATGAAATGAGTGAGCAGCCTGGCAGAAGGAGGAGGGCTTGTCCCATCCCTCCTCCTGGTCCAACACAGAAATCACATGAGCTGCTGGGGGGGGTCACTGAAGCCGCTCTGCCTGATGAGGAAAGTTAGTCAGCAAAGGAGCACAGCAAATGGTGGGCAGAACCGATGCCAAGGTGTGACAGGTTTTGCAGCATGTTATGTGCAATAATAGTAGAAAGTGAAGTGAGGTGAGCACTTTAAGAGCCTGCTTTTTTAAAGGCCTACTTGTTCTTTATTAGAGAACAGTGTAGAAAATATGTGGGGTGAGAAATGTCTTGAGGGTGAAAAAGGCAGGAAGAGGTCAGACAGAAATAGAATCATATCAAGCCTCCAGCAAGCAGGCATGGAAACTCCTAGCTTTCCCTGGTGTGATTAGCAATGCAAGGGCTTTGCAGGATTAAAGACAGACAGCCTCTGCATCCAGCCTGATGCTAGTGCAGGAGCAATGAGAAAGAGGAGGGGCTGATTTCAACTGTTAGCCTAGCAACACTGCAAAAGAAAGGTATATATAGGCCACAAGCACAACGCCTAACATGATGGTCAGTCAACAGCATTCATCCTGATGCAACTGCTGTTCATCACCTTCAGTTGAGCAATAATGCAGAGAACTTTACCTCTGTCACTCCAGGGAAGCTACTCAGGCCCATCCTCTGTGGGATCACACAATCCGGCCTAGAAACACATGTCAACATGTACAAGTATGCACCAGCTATGTGTGTGTCCATGTATGTATGTAGAGGACTTACATATACAAATGAACAATACCAGACTCTAAGGAAGAAATGTGACTGTAATAATTAATCTGAAAGGATTCCAGATAGAACCGTTTTTTATATCTAAGGCTATGTTCAAATATATATAATGAGTGAAAGAAAGCATTCTCGGGCAGTGCACTCTTATTTTGTTCAGACAGACAGTCTGAAGGATCAAGCTCAGGGCAAACATGTTCTTCCGGTTTGCAACCACAGCCACATGTACATAGCTGATTAGCTGATCCCACATGAAATCACAAGACTACCTCCCTACACTCATCAGCACAGTTTTCTCAACTTAAAATAAGATTGTGTGCTTTAAAAAGAAGGGGCAACGAACACTGTGTCAGCACATCCCCTAGATTTCAAGCACTGAAAAATTGTGGGTGAAATGCAACAGCGATTGTAAGGAACATGGTACCTACAGGCACAAATGTTCCCATGGACACCTTTCTATCCCTCCCACTCTTTCAAAAGAAATAAATACATATTTTTACCAGAAGCTTGAATTGCTGTGAAACTTTGGATAGTTAAGAGCGTGGATCATCAAACTACGGCTCGTGGGCTGGATCCGGCCCGCCTCAGAGCTTTTGGATTCGCTTAGAGAAAATGAACTCTGAGCAAGTCCAAAAGCTCTGATCCAGCGCAGGCGTACTCAGTGGGAAGATGGCCACGCTCGCAGTCACGCTCATGCAGGGAAGACGGGGACAATCGTGGTCGTGCGGGGGGGGGAT